GCTGGCTGAGGAATTCTGGGAGTTGAAGTCCACAAGTCTTAAAGTTGCCAAGCTTGGACACCCCTGTTTTAGGTCATTGAGGCGACTTGGAGGTTTATCTGTGTTCTCACGGTCACCCAAGTAGCGCCAATGGGTGTAAGAGCTTTCTTGGCTGCAGGATGTTTTCTTCCCTGTGTCCCTTCCCTGTTGAAGACAGGCGCAGGCTGTTGAGGATGAGTCTGTGTTGTCTGCATCTCAAACTGAAGCGCACATGGTTCTTGTAGTATGCAATTTTTTTCTGGAAATCCGTTCATACTCCTGCACCATCCGAAGGGTGTTCATCAAAAAAGCGCAGCTAAAAGTCTATGGAGATTCTCAGTCATTCAGGTCATGGTCGTCCCAAAGGTGCTTTTTCAGGAGGCAACTACACAAGTGGCCTCAACAACCCACTAAAAGGATACAAATGACCAGCTGTCTGCAAGGAATATAAATCCTTCCATTCCCCACCATCCAGTCAGAGCTGAAGAAGCTTCCTGGATGAGAAATGAAACATTGTCAAAGAAAATACCAGAAAGTGTAGTTGCCTCCTGAAAAAGCACCTTTGGGATGTTTTCTACGCAGTACAACCAATTTCTCCCTGGCTGAAGAATCACTTCAGCAGCCAAATAATTTTCAAAGAAAATTCCCGTCAGGTGGGTAATGCAGGCTGAAGCTAAAACAAAATTGATGGGAGTTGAATAAAGGAAATCAATGGCATTTCATATTGGCTGGTGAATTGCAATATAATCTGATTTATCTAGCATCAACATAGGGATTAAATTTAAGAGGGACCACTGGGATTTTTTAAACAATCCAATGCAACCCTATCTTATACAAAAGTTCACCGATTATTGAATTACTATAGTTGATAATTGCTTTAGGATTTTCTTGCCATTTTAAAATTTCCTTTTATAGTTATATTCTATGCTGGTCTTTTATTGTGTTACTTTGATTGTACAATATCCAAAACCATTTTGTAACCAAATTATCCTCCAAAGAACAAAATCCAAAATAAACCCAGCTTAGTAAAGGGTGCACAAATGTAGCTAGAGTGTTATGCAAAGTTATTTATTGGGTTTATGAAATCATTTTATGGATCTTGAGGATAGCAAATTATGCTGTTTTTTTAAAAAAAGATATTGTTTTATAGCTTCATTTATGCTTTGAACATATATGCCACCAGATGGTGTCAGAAAATATTCTTCAAGATCTAAGATTTCTCTAATACTGTACATAACATTAGAGAAAAAATAGTACTATGTACATCAGTATTAAGTTAAGAGTAGACAAATAATTAATATGGCTGTAAATTTTAATTGTTTTTGCACAAGACATTTGTACCCAGATAATATTGTTTAGTGGAAGATGGATTGTTTATACTAAAATAAAATAAAGAATTTATAATAATAATTTTTAAAAAGATCTAAGATTTATTCTGTGTTTGTGCACTCTGGCTTTCTCTCTCTCTCTCTCTCTCTCTCTGAGAGGGATGGGGAGAGAAAGGGAGAGGGAGAAAAGGAGGGAGGAGAATTTGTGACTCCAGGAAACTGCCTGAAAAAATCCCTGCAGTTCTCTCTTTTTTCTATTGGTATGTGCCAAAGTTAAATGGGTGGTACGGTGGCCTAGAGGAGGCACCATCGCCTCACAATCAGGAGCCTGTGGTTCGATCCTAGGTAGAGGCAGATATTTCTCTCTCTGAACACACTGAGAAAATATCTGCTGAACAAAACTCTGCATTTGCAACAGGAAGGGCATCCGGCCAGTGAACACTCAGCTCAATTCAGTTGCCCAGACGCCACCCCGCAAGGGATTGTGGGGTTGTTAAAAGAGGATAATGGTGATGAAGTGGCAGAGTTAAATGATTTAAATAAAGGAGCAATTTTTCATTGTCAATTACGGTCGGGTGAATTTGCTTCTTTGTCAGGAAAGGCCCATCATCTCCACTCCTTCCAATGAAAATCTGCATCACCTTATCCCCTGCTTAGACCCATCCAGACGTTCTATAGTCACCCGTCACACTTACGATAGGAATTACACCAGTGAGCCAGAGCGGGTGAAATTCAATCATCTTTATTTATGAACAAACCCTATTCTATTGTGATGGCAGCTGGTTCCTAGGACCAGCTCCAGAGGGAGGGGGGGGGTCTGAGCAGAGGGGAGGTCAGAATATTCTCCAAACAGCCAAAATGGCCTGGCAAGGTAATATAATGGATCCAGGAAGGGGAAATGTGGAGGAGGGCAACGGAGGTGATGGCATTGCTGTGACGGTTGGTCTGCACCAATTCCAAGGCCAAGCTCAGCCACCAAGGCCCAACGCAGGGCACCGTGACAACCCACCTCTCTAGGACAGAGGGAGAGAAGCAAAAGTCTCCTCCTCCATCTGATTTTTATTCCAAGGTGTCTCTCCTTTGCAAAGACCTTCCCCATCTTCCAGACAGCCAGCTTAGAAGGAAACCTTGGTAGAAAATTAGGTGAAGGGTGCCTTGGCTAGGAACGGGCCTTCGGGGTGGCGCAATTCACACATCCGTACCCACCCTAGAGAGTTCACTCCGTAACAAGAGTTTAGGACAGTGTTTGCATCCGAGCATTCCCTCCACGGCTTAGGAACCATTAGGCAATTGTCTTCTACCCAGTCTCCACTCAACCCATGGCTGGCTGTGGCCACTGAGAAGTCCAGATCCATCTTGACACGCAGGAGAGATAGGTGGGATCCTCTCCTCAGACCCATCGAAAGTGCTGGTTGCGAAGTAACCGAAAGAATTCGAAGCGCGAGAAATGTGCAAAAACATCAGAAAGCGCAAGTGCTCCTAAAGGAAAGAGGCCTCTGGCCGGCCCCGGAGGGGAAGGGGGGGACAGAAGAGGCCACTGTGGGGAAGGACCTCAAGCTTTTTTGCATTACGTGAACAAGCCGCCATGCTGTGTTCTCCTCATGCTACTGGCGGGGGCGGGGGGGCAATGCCCACTCCAGAAAGGTGATAACCTGGGACTAAAAGAGCGAAACTCCTTTGCTAGGAGAAGCCCACCTTCCCCCCCACCCCCCCAAAGATAGGCATGACTGTCAATCTTGAGTGGCTGGCTTGGATAGAGAGTTCTGGTATTAAAAATAGCATGCTTTCATTAAGGAAAGGGGCCGTGCAGTTGAGGGGGAGGGGCTGCTTGGCTCCAGCTCACTTTTTCTTTGGGCTGCTGATCGCTCTGCTGAGTCATTTTGCCTCTTCTCCACTCGTCGTCAAAGCCTCGTCCCTGGAAAATTGTGGATAACGCAGCGTTAGATCACCTTGACGGCAAAAGACAACCTGGTTGGAGGCCTGGCAGTCGGGAGTTTTACCACACTGGTGCCAGGGTTCACTACTTGAGACTTACAAGAAGAGATTGGACTGCCACTTGTCAGAAGTGGTGTAGGGTCTCCCGCTTGGGGAGGGGGGGGCGGATTGGACTAGATGACCTACAAGGTCCCTTCCAACTCTGATAATCTGTTATCTGTTATTATTAGTGGATTGCTTGCTAAAGGGGGGGGAGGGCAGCTGTTAAAATCTTCTATCCCCGGGGGGGTCAAACTCAGTTTCATTAAGGGCTGCATCAGGATTTGTGTTTGACTTCGAGGGAGCCAGGGGAGGCGTGGCCAGCTGGACATCACTTGCCCAGGCTCCGTTTTCGGCCGCAACAGCCTCCCCGAGCTCAGTTTTCACTGGCAGAGGGCTGCAGGAGCCTGTCATGGCTGAAAATGGAGCCTGGGTGGGCTGCAAGCGGCCTCCCCGAGCTCAGTTTTCGCTGGCAGAGGGCTGCAGGAGGCCGTTGCAGCTGAAAACGGAGCCTGGGAGGACTGGTTCTTCACTGTGTCCAGGGCAGCTCTGCAGGCCGGATCCAGGCCTTGAGTTTGACACCCCTGTTCTATCGACTTCCCATCTGAAGGGGAGGGATATCACAAGCGTCAAATCCTCATAGAAATGACATGGAAAGGGTGGTTGATATAACGTCATTGACACTATGACATCATGGCACAAATGAATATCTCTGCTGCCTGTCCTAGCCTGGTGCATCTTCTCTGACCTGTTGCAATTTCATCTTCTGGAGAAGGAAGAGAGGAAAGTCAAACTTCACCTTCCTGCTGTTCAACCAGTGAGCCCTAAAAGCCCTTAAGGGTGATCCTCAACACGTCTGAAATGTCACCTCCACATGGTTATGGGACAGAAGGGGAAACTTACTAGGAATCGTTGATGTTGTAAGACAACCGTGTTAGTTGATGCCTTCCCAAAGAATCTGCTAGTTGGAGAAGGTGCTACCAGACTGTTGTTGTTTTTTTCCAGAATGATAAAAGTCTGTGTATTCGAATGAAATTTAACTGTACATCAAATCAGATTTAGTTGGGAGTTTTCTCCTGCTGTTTAATTTTGATGGGGGAAAACAGTAAGACAATTTGGGTCCATTCTCTCTTTCAGAAGTCAGCCAAACTCCTCTCCAACAATATCAACTGGTAGAAGGATGAGAAGTAAATGCAAAGATGGGAGTTGTATTTCCCTACTGCCTCACTGCTCCCATATCTAATTTGAGACAGAGATATCTTTGGCTCTTATTAGAGTCTGCAAAGCACCAGGCACCCTTGATACTATTATTAATAATATTAATAGGCACTACATCCTTGTTACAATATTAGGCTTTTGAGAAAAGCTTGAATGAATCCTAAATCACTAGCATTTCCCAAGTATTCTTCAGAAGAGAATACAAAGTACATAATAATATCATTATAAATCAATATTGTTGCAGCTCTTGATGCAATACCAGGGAAATTTACCAAATTTTAGAAATGTCAACGTTCCTGGATTTGAAATCTCCTATTTTGCAAGAGAACAGAGTACAATTTATGGCAATACCTTCATGATTCTTAAGATTCAATCCCCAGAATCAACACTCAGTTAGATTACAGGTAGTCCTTGACTTATGACCGTAATGGAGCCCAGAATTTCAGTCATAAGTTATTGTAGTTGTAAGTCAAGATAACACATGACCGGACTCTATCTTATGACCATTTTTAAGACAGCAGTCTTAACTTTGAGCGTGGATTGTAAATGGCTTTTTTAAAGTCCGTTGTAACTTTGAACAGTTGTACAGATGAGAACTGTCTGTATGATATTCATTTAGGCAATGGTGACGATAACGATCATACCTTATAAAAACCAGGAATCCCAGTGCCCATCAACGGCCTGGCCTGGGCTATTCAGCTACCTGCACCCCTGTGCAGTTTTCTTTACTTTCCGATGTGATGGCCAAGTATTCCGAGCTGTTAGGGGACAGAAAGACATGGTGAGTATACTTCAGAAAGGAGGTTGAGCTCGCCTTTCCCCACTCCTCCCTTACACAAGACAAACTCCAGTAACTGCTGGAGGTTCATCACAGCCAAATGCTAAGCCAGCCTTCAGTATCTTTAAATCTATCTATCTATCTATCTATCTATCTATCTATCTATCTATCTATCTATCTATCTATCTATCTATCCTTGATGTGCTTTGGTACCCCAATAAGATCAAGTGACTCATTTAGGAGGTCCAGAACACTCCCTCCTCACTGTGAGGGAGACAAACAAAGGTGGGATTCAGCAGGTTCTGTCCAGTTCTGGAGAACCAGTAGCGGACATTTTGAGTAGTTTGGAGAACTGCCAAATCCCACCTCTGACTGGCCCCTCCCCCATCTATTATCTGCCTCCTGAGTCCCAGCTGAAAAGCAGGTTAGTGGGTTGGGGAGGGAATGGAGATTTTGCAGAATCCTTCCCATGCCACGCCCACCAAGCCACACCACGCCCACCAAGCCACACCACGCCCACCAAGCCATGTCCACAGAACCTGTAGTAAAAATTTTGGAATCCCATCACAGGAGACAAAGCTAGTGACAAGCCAGTTCGTTGCATGATGTGATGGGAGAAGGATGAAACGAGGCGGAATCAGGGTTATAAAGCAGCAGTATAATTATAGAAGGATGAGTAATGGCTGCAAGGACACCTTGATTTACGGGAAGCTGAAGAGCCCAACCGAGAGGGAGAGGATGAAAAATGAGTGGGGCTTATGGTCAAAGCCAGGATTCATGGTCCATCAAGTCTTCCTCTGGAAGCCTGTAAGGCGCTTTGGCTCCCTTAATTTCCTTGTGAACATGCAGAAGCTGCTTGGTGACTCAGTGGTTTTAAGAAGTGTGAACCCCACACTTTTTCAAATGCTTGTGTGCGCAATCACAAGCCATGAAGGAAAGGTTCTGTCCTTGAAAAGGGCAAATCAATGAAATAAGCATGACGTAAAAAAAAGTATACACTTTGGCTTTGCCAACAATTTAGGAAAAAAAGCAAGTATACTCTCTCTCCCACTGGACACACATGGTCCAGAGATTTTCCTTTCTTGTGTATCATCATCTTTTAATGACCCCATAATCTCTTGCAGGGGGTAGAGCCTGGGCAACTGAATGGAGCTAGCTGAGTGTTTTAATGGCCAGATGCCCTTCCTGTCACCGATGCAGAGTATTGTTCAGCAGACGTATTCTCATTGGCCCAGAAAGAGAAATATCCGCCTCTACCTAGGATTGAACTCACGGCCTCCTGACTGTGAGGCGAGAGCTCCACCTCTGAGCTACCACACCACTCCATTTTCCTTTCTTATGTATATACCTACTTAATTATCCACTGTCCCATCTCAGCCCTACTCAGCGTAGTTTGATAAACAACTCAGAAAGCCTCTCTCTACTTAACTCAAAGATACAGTGAGGTGGAAAGCATATTCAACATTGCAAGATCCTGTGACGATATTCGTCATGATAACAACTACAATGACCTATATGGCATCAGTTTCTCGTTGGGCTGACGCAGAGTGCCGTAGAAGCTGACAGGAGTAATGTCTAATGTCAACATCAGCTTGGACATTTCTTTTAGTGCCATGTCTGGCATGTTCTGTTATGAGCTACTCATCAGTACCCAAAATATCCAATCGGTAGCATCTTCCCAGAGCCTTATGGGTTATTACAGGGCGCTTGGTAGCTAATAGCCACTCAACACAGTTAGATGTTACAACGTGGAAGGTCCATATTGTTCCCCCTTGCTTCTTTTCCTGCCCTAACCCATTCTCCTTACGCATTTTCTTGAGCAGCTGCCTCTGTCGCTGCAGCGATCTTCTTGTAGCAATAGATCATCTCCGCTACCAGCCAGATGGTCAGGACAACAATGAGGACGTACATCATGATTTCGGAGACAATAGATGCCATATCCCGATTGGCTATGGATGAAAGGGAAGACAGGGATAGGGCTGTGTGAAGTGCAGACAGACATCCAGGTTAACTAAACTCGATTACTTTTTGCTAGAATGGAAATGGAATACTGAGGAAACTGTGGTTCATGGACCACCCATGCAAAGGATGACCTGGTTTCATCTGGAAGTGAACCCACTTACTGTTGGGCTCTCCGGCAAACACCGAAAACTCAATGGGATTCTTTCCGGTCACCTTTCTCAGAGTTCTCTAGCCTGATTTAATTAGATGAACAGAATGGAGCTACAAGAATTCCAGCATCTCAATGATTTCCTCTACAGCAATAGCCCTCAACCTTTGGGGCACCAAGGGCCGGTTCTATGGAGAAAAGTTTTTCCGCTGACCAGAGGGGTGGTGGTTTTGCATTCCTGTTGTGGCCTACTGGCCTCCAGCCCCTCCAGCACCCAAATCAGAGAAGGAGGCGTGGGAGGGTCAGCATCAGGGCAACCCGGGAGGGAGCTTTGAGGGGAAAGAGGGAATGGAGCTTGCAGAGAGAGAGAGAGAGATACAGAGGCCATTCGTCAGCCCTCAGGTGGAGAGTCAACATCTCCCAGGTCTGGAGGTGGCTGATGAAGAAGAGGAGGAACATCCGGTGCCTGATGTACGGCTGCGCAGAAGGCAGAGGAGAGGAGAGCAGTGGAAATCTATGGGCCGATCCTGGGGAAGGAAGAGCCACCGTTGCCAACGAGGCTCCACTCTAGCTCTGGGGAATAAAAGCCAGGCGTGCAGAGATGAATAGGTGTGGCAGATAACTATTTATCATCTGGCGGGATGGACTTGTTAACCCGTGAGAGAAACTTTTTGCTGGGGCTGCTGGGATTCCTAATAAAGGAATATTTTGACTTCACATCAGAGGGTCTGTCGTGTTTGGGGCGCTGGGTCAGAACAGCTTCCTGCATCCCGTGGGTGGGGCTTCACTTGTTTGTGCGGCCTGGTTGCTGTCATGCTATGGCCCAGTGGCAGTCCACAGACTAGGGTTAAGTACCCCTGCTCTGAAGTGTGGGTTTTCTTTTCTTTTCTTTTTTTTAACAGCTTTCTATGGTCCACCCAGGAACTGGATCTTCTCAAGGACAATTGAGAAGTTTGCAATGGGCTGCCAAAATAACATTTATTTTCCCCAAACTGTTATACCTAGTCTATCTGTGGCTCTATTTCTTTTGATTCTGGCTATATCCATCCTTACTTCTGGTTATGCTCCTTGGTGGAACTTAGGCAAGAACCCACCCCTTCCTTCTGACGTCGCTCACATTGGATTTATTTTTGCCTGGAATTGTTGGATAAGTTGCTTGATAAACTGCCAGATTGGACACTGTAGAAAATAAGGTGGTTAAAAAAAAAGATGCTCTGATTCCTAAGAAATCTGATGTTTAAACTCTCCAATGGTCTACAAAAGGGGTGTCAAACACAATGCCATTGTATGATCGGATACGGCTCGCGGGGCTGTCCTGGAAAATGTAAGAGGCCGGGATATGTGGCTTTGGCCCAGTCTACCCAATGTGAAGAGGAAACTGTTCTGACCTAGGCTTCCTTAGAAAGCATAAAACACAATTTTAGTCTCGGCAAAACCTCTTTTATTTCCACAGCTGTGAATTATGTACATTCACAGCCTGCAAGCCTTCACAAACAATCTTTCAGGGGAATGTTTGTAAACACCCACATTATCACACTTGGAATGCTGCCAGACGCAGGGCAAGGCCAAACTTGCCAAACGCAGGGCAAGGCCAAACTTGACACAGAGTCAAACAGAACTTGAATTGACAGACGAACTAATTGCTTCCTGCAAAAGCTCACGTCCCGTTCGCTCCTCTTTCATGTCCTATGGGAGGGGCCAATCATCTCGGAGGTGTGGCCTTACTCCTGAGTCAACCCTGCTTTCTCAATTGTCCTCGTCTTCAGGTAGCCCTGTTCACGCGCAGGCTGGGAACCGGTTCCAGAAACTCTCCCGCCTCACTGCTGTCTGAGACTGAAGGCAGCTGATGACTACCATCCTGCCCTGACCCCATCTCTGCCTCTGATGCAGAGCCCTCATCCGAGCTCTCCCCAGCCTCCAAGACTAGCCCAGGTTCCTCCCCAACCTCCTCACTACTGTCCAACTCTGCTGCCAGCTCCTTCAGCCGCCGGCAGGCCACAACAGAAACATCGGGCCAAACATAAGTTGGCCACACCCACCCAGTTGGCCACACCACCCAGCCTCCCAAGGTCAACAACAGTCCTGACGCAGCCCTCAATGAAATTGAGTTTGACACCTCTGGTCTACAACATGCCAAGATACCTTTGCCTGCTCCACAATCTTTGAGCTCCAGCTTTGTGCTTACCTTTTTCGACCACATCAAGGTGGATGGTTTTGTTGACCATGATGTTGTAGGAGAAATCATTGGCATAATGGAGTGTGCGATTGACACTGCACATGTACTCCCCTTTGTGTTCAAAAGTCACGTTCAGGATGAAAATGGAGACATCCTGCAAATCTGCAATGATCTTGGTACCATTCCACTCCACTAGATCTTCAAAGCGAGGATCATATATAACGAGCTTATCATAGACATCATAGCGAAGAATCTGGAGAGAAGATGGGAGAGGACCCAGTCAGAACCAGAAGAAAAGAGTACTGCACACAGAAAAACTACAGCCCTTCGGTAATAATATGATGGTGATGAGCAGAAGTAACATATTGGTGAAATAGTTGTCAGGGTTCCAGAAAAACCCAACTCTAATTTTCAATAGCCATCTCTGGCAGTAGATTGAAGATTGGAGATTCTTCTAAGAGAACCACTTTGTGTCCTATATTAACTGGAAGAAAAAGACAGGGCCAGGGCTGTTATTAGGCAAACCAAAATAATGGACTCAGGTAGAAATGTTAAAATATTTACAGACCCCTCACATTCTTGACATGAACTGTTTCAACTCCTACCCTCAAAATTACCCTATAGAGCACTGCACCCCAGAAGAACTAGACACAAGGACAGTTTTTCCTTGAACGCCATCACTCTGCTAAACAAATAATTCCCTCAACACTGTCCAACTATTTACTAAGTCTGCATTACTATTACTACTAATCTTCCCATCCTTCCTTTCCCCCATCTCCTCCCACTTATGACTGTATGACTGTAACCTTGTTACTTGTATCCTAATGCAGGGGTAGGGAAACTTGGCTCTTTTATCACTTATGGACTTCAACTCCCAGAATTCCTGAGTGAGCCATAAACGGTTCCCCATCCCTGGACTACTGGTTTTTCAGTTGTGAGGGAAATCAATTTTTGACTTGAATGGGACTGTTTAGTATATTAAACCATATATTAAATATACTATATTTTATGTCTCACTCAGGAATTCTGGGAGTTGAAGTCCATAAGTGATAAAAGAGCCAAGTTTCCCTACCCCTGTGACCTAACGATTTATATTGGCTGTTTCCTAGTATGATTTGATTGCTTATTGTACCCTATAACTATTATTAAGTGTTGAACCTTATGACTCTTGACAAGTGTATCTTTTCTTTTATGTACACTGAGAGCATTTGCACCGACAAATTCCTTGTGTGTCCAATCACACTCAGCCAATAAAGAATATTCTATTCTATTCTATTCTATTCTATTCTATTCTATTCTATTCTATTCTATTCTATTCTATTCTATTC